TTTATCTGTTATATTTTCTATTTTTTTTATATTGCTATTCCATTTTATTAATGCTCTCATTATTTTCTAAAAGCTAGACCAAAAATTTTTTCCACAACGTTAATGCTATCATGAATAATAGAACTTGTAAACAACAATATATGTTAAACTATTTTTGTTTTTCAGGCTAGTAATTAGAGCGATTATTATTTTCTAATACTATCTTAAAAAGTACAGTTGTTAGTAGGCCTTAAACAGAGATTGGATCTACTGTTGTTAGGCGAAACTATTTTGGTAAATGGTGAAAGTCTGGTAAAACATTAAAACTCTAACGAAACATTTAAACTCTAGCAAAACTCTTGGTAAAGCTAAAATATCTGGAGAATGTCAAACACAGCAAAGATCAAATCCTTCAAAACTTTAGAAAGATTGAACCATATTGGTAAATCAAAATATTTTGTGTGTGGCTACTAAGCACAGAATGTGGTTAAAAGCAATAAATTTAGATCATTGATCAAAAAGCATCATATATAACACTATGATTATGTACATATATATGATTACTTTCTATTCTTGCCTATTACTAATTTTTCATCCTTTACTCATTTTATTACCTTTTTTAGTTTCGCAATCTCACCAGTTTCATTATTTCGCCATTTTAATTTTTTTAACAAAATCTCTAGGTTTCGCCTAATAACACTAATTAGATCTATTTAAAAAACTTTTCTATTAATCAGACCCATCGGTTATTTAGATGTTTCTGGACTATTCTTAGAAATTCAACTTTGTTTTTAAATTATTCAGATTCTCAGAATATCCAAATTTTGATCATAATATCTATACTGATATTTTGACAATATTAATTACAAACGTTTGTTCATTTTCTATTTTTATCATTAGATATACTTCAAAGAATTTTTTGCATTTAAGTTTTACTATTGGTGTGGCGACTTAGTGAAGTTGGCAAGTTGTCACACTCCCAAGCAGCAGGACTAGAGTTTGAATCCCACTGGCGACAAAAATTCGAATTATAGGAAATGCATTTGGAAGACTGTATCCTATTGGGTTGTAGAACCTGTAATGGTGGTCGTACCAGCTTGTACTGGGAGGTAGTGGAACATGTAGTGTGATATATGAGTTACACAAAACCCAAGTGAAACTACCAGATAAATCCAGTGAATTTACAGGATACAGAAGCCTGCTTGGCAAGACCCGAGTGGAGAGGTAGCACAGATCTTCGACAGTTACTATATAAAGGATGATCAACTGGATATCGGAAAACCAGACGGGACCGAGGTGTTTGGCAAAAGCACTATATCAACTAGGCCGACAGAGAAAAACAGAGGAAGGGTCTGCCCTTCCGGACTGTAGGATTGGGAGTTTGGGTTTCCGGAGGTATGGGAGGGAGTCCGTAAAGTAGGTACCGGGGTTTGGGCGAACTCTACAAGGGCAGTAGTAGGTAACTGTAGCAGCTTCAGCTCGCAAATACTTGTTCTCGGACTCGGCGTAAGTTACCGAAAAGGCCTAGTCTGGAAATGTGTGGGACATAGAAAGATTAGGAGGGTATATACTACACCCTCCCTAGGGTAACCCGGTAAGTATGAGAACCCTACTGGGTTATTTATAGAATTAGAGCACAAGTAGTGTAGCACATGTTGATCTGGGTGGTCTTTAAATGTAGTAGCACGAGGTTATGGGCTGATGTAATTGTAGGTCATAGTAAATGTACTATATAAATACCTAATAAAAATTCGCCTGTTCGCGACATTGTGAGAAAAAAAAAAAAAAAAAAAAAAAAAAAAAAAAGTTTTACTATTGCACAGTGGCTTGGTTCTTTTATATTTATAGTTTATGGTTTGTATCATATTAGTAATGAAGATGATTCATATCATAATTCTATAGATTAATATTGCATATACCGATTTTCATTTTACCTTGGGTAATTAAGATGGTAGCAGATAAATTGATCAGATCTAACTTCTAATCATACCAAGTTGTAATTAGTGATGCCTAACAAGATAAAACTATCTTCTGCTGGGCAGTTGGGTATAAGCAGAGCTGAAAGTCCCGCTTATATATATAGTGCTCAGAGTATAACTCCCATCCATGAAATACTATAAAATGCATATAAGAAGTTACATGAACTGGTAAATAAAAACCCTTAATAATGTTTTATGGATTTTTAGGATCTCTTTCATCAGGTTTTAAAAAAAGATTTAACTATTCAAATGCTAAATGTTTTAAATATAAAAAATCACTAGTTGGATCGCACATTACTTTATACAAATCGATAAACTTGTCCCACAATGATCAAATTAATTGGGCTCGACTTGGACAAAATAGAATACCTAAATTAAAGTACTGTAACACTTTAATTTTATCATCACCTGTTAGTAATGTATATTTTCAAGTATTTGTTTCTTCTCAAAAGTAAAACTTAATTTTAAGTCGTTCCATTTCATTTATGATTATTTGACGACTAAGATTATTAAATAAGTTTCTTTCCTTAATTTTTGATAATATTAATGTTCAGAGTTTATCTTCAATTCTTAATAACACATGTAATTCATCAAACACATAATTTGATAATGGAATCATATTGAATAATGGTGCCTTAATATAACCTGGAATATTTAAATAATTGTTTTTCAAATCATCTATTGACTTCATAATTTGCCAATCCTGTATAATATCACTAATTTCATGCTTAGAGCAAAGACACCAAGCACAAAAGTAAGTCGAGTTTGCTGTATTTAGTCTGAGGCAAATAGAAAGAAATTTCCAATCGCTACTAAAGTACAATTTGAAATGCCAAAGAACACCTGCAATATTTAATCTATTATTTTTAAGATCTCTAAGATTATTAAGAAATGAATTTAATACAACTTCGAGTAATTCATATTTTTCAACTCCAGGGTACAAGGCAACAGTATAATGATAATTGGGTGTATGATGATGCTTTGTGTCATTAAGAATCATAAATGTAATCATGACATGTTTTACTTTTCATCCTATGTTTTGGCCATCTCCAGAAATTCGTAGATGGTTTGTTGGATCGTAAACTGATAAAGTATTTTCTCATAGCAAATAAGGAATTACATATTGAAGTATTTTCTTAAAATTACGTTGACCACCTATACTTACTAAATTCAAATGCTCATTATAGTATTATCAGAATCTATATAATTAGATTCTTCAATGTCACTATTTAAATTAATATTATTTACTGCTTTGCTTATATCTATAGATTTAATTCAAATCTTATTGGTCATTTCCTGAGTTAACTTAAGTTGTTCGTTCGCAATAATATATTTATGTGGTAAATGAAAATTTACTGTAGCCAAGTTTCTATATGCATCCTGTGAAATATAAGATGAATCCATTATTTTAATCATATTTAAAACCTCTATTTTTTTTTGTATAAGATTTTCATTTCCAAAATCAAAATAATAATTTTGATTATTAACAATATATTCAAATGATTTTAATGAAATAGAATCTTGTGAATTATATTTAAACTCAACATTTTGAATAAATTCTTTTTGAATTGTTGTTGCAATTTCTTTTGCACGTTTTCTAAGAGTTGTCTCTGAATATTGCTCTGCGGGTTTAATTATATGTTGTCTAACACAAAATTCTCTAATTGTCCTAAGTTTTTGAAGCTGTAGTCCAAATAATAAAGGTCCAGATAATAAAGATTTTTTATTTGTATTTATATTTATAGCTTTCTCATAATTTGTTGCAGCATTAATAGCTGATATATTTGATTCAATTTCATATTCAAAAGAAGTACCATATAAAATTTGAAATCTGGGCTTTCCATTTCTGTACTTGATTTTACATTGGACAGTTTGTCAATTTTCTCCATGTCCTCAAGTAGTTTTTACAGAATAATCGTCAGGAATTGGGTATTTCTTAGGAGGCAAAGTATAATGAAGTTCTGAAGCATGTAGATAAAATCTCTCAGCCTCTATAAAATAATTAAATGATCGTTGTGTATGATTATTTTTTGTTTCTTGGTAAGTACAGTAATTGTAGAGGCTTGGGGATAATCACCTAATTTGATTTCTGATTTTGATTTTTCGATCATCGAATGATTTGACATCGCGAGAAAAAATTTAAGTGATTTGAATATTTTCAAAAAAATTGCTTCAATAATTTTTAATGCAAACGATTTTTATAGTATTTTAAAACTGGATATGTCTTTTGTTTTAATTATGGATACTTATATAGATAGAGGCAAACACGGTTTATGATCAAACTTTTAATTATACGTAATATTTTATAGATTTATCATTGACATTATAAATTAGTAATAGAAGGCATTCGCCTTATCAACAGTTATTTTATTACAAACAATCATTTAAAGAACATATATGATAAAGCTATAAAAAAATTAGTAATTGTCAATACGATGAATCTATTAATTTGTCATAGTATTTAACTAATCTATAATGTCCGTAGACTGCAAAATAACTAAAAAGAAGATAAAAAGTAGATAATTTAACAGGAAATTAACAATTGTTTTAACGGGTTTGTGTCAAAATTCCAACAAACAGAATCCTAACAAACAAAATCCTAATAAAAATTAACTAAAGCTATAGTTAATGCTAATCTAATGCGGAATACAAATTTTTGTTCTCAAGATTTATAACAATTGTTGATTTTGCATTAATTCAAAATTCCAAATTTAGATGTTTCGATATTACCGTTTAACTAAATTGTGCAGGATATTTTTGATTTTGCGTTATTACATTGTCGCTAAATCCTCTATAATATGTAATTATGATCGTGCATAAAGATGTTAACCTTAAATAACTGAACTTGCACTATTATTAAGAGTAAGTCATTAGTGTCCAGGGTCTGTGGTGGCAGAATCTGCACAGAAATTGTACAGAATTCTGCGAGCAAAATAAAAATTATTGGTGAATATAGTTTATTGTGATCAAATTAGAATTTTCTTTTTGTTGTCACTGCAGAATTTGCTAATTTAACGATAATTACAGCAGAATTTTTCCGTTAGAGCAGCATACTTAGAGACCTCGGATTTTTGTAGTATGCTATTTTTTGGTTAGCAAAATAGCTAGCAACAATTGTCTTGCGCTAAGATGCGAAATTTGCT